CCTGCTTGGCCACCTCCCCCCGGTGCCAAAGGGAGGGGTCCCCGTGCTGCCATCACCCTGCCCCACTCTCCCAAAGCAGCTCAGGCCTGCCCAGCCCTGATAAGAGCTGCTCCAGGGAAAAGAGCCCCACAGACCTGCAGCTCCATGGGCTGATGGGGCTGGGAAAGCGAGACCCAGCCCTGACAGGAGCCAGAGAGCTGCTCCTGCTGCAAACCCAGCCCGGAGCTGTCAGGCCTCTCTGCTGCAACTGCCCAGAGCTTCTCCCCCTTCTACCTCCACCATCCCACCTGCTTATGAGGGAAGGGAAATCAGGAGGGCAGATGGCAGTAAAATTAAACACTGTGCTCGAGAAAACCTCAAGCCAGGATGGAACAGGCATGCACTGGGTACTGATGGTGAAGTATTCAGGAAAGCATCCATACCTGCCAAGTGTTCCTCTGGAGCAGAAGACTCCTTTCAAAAAAAAAAAAGAACAACACAAAAAAGCCCTTACTATTCCTTGATAGGAAAAAAAAAATTCCCAAAAAACAACTGCTCCCTAACACAGAGCACTTCTGGCTGCTGTCAGTCACCAGAGCTGTATATACTGGGTGTTTGTTTGCATGCCAGACACTAACTGGGGAAAAAAACAGAACTGAACAAAAGAAAACACAACCTTAACTTCAACTCAAAGGAATTATTCACATACTTAAAATGCTTCTTTCCTGTGAACCATCTCTAACCTTGGCCAGGATCCCAAAGCCTCTTTGCATGTTTAATTCACAACTCTTACAAAACAAACAAACAAGCTCCGCCACATAAGGAAATGTTTTCTAACATGTAATTTCAACAAAGAAATGAGAAAACATCCACCAAGAAAGAAACTCACTCCTTGTGAATTCCCATCTGCAGCTCAGCTGCCCCTTTCCAGCCTGCCCAGTTGGAGCAGACCAGGAGTGCCCTGCTCTGAGAAGGGCATGTTCTGAGAGCTGGTTCAGCTCAAAGCTGCTCCCCAGCTGAGCACTAACTCCTTGTCACACACACAGCTCTGCTCCGAAATTAACACCCAGTGACTTCATTTTCGCTCACTTTTGTACCACGTCCCTCCTGACTTCAGGCCTGGAGCAGAGCAGTGGAGCAGTGGGGAGGGCAGAGTCAGCAGCCTCTGAATCACACACTTGGCCTTCCTAGAACAGCTCCTCAGCACAGCTGGAGTGGCCAAGATGAAAGAGTTTGCAGCTGGAAATGTTAATGTCATCATAGAAACGCAGAGGTGCTGCAGACTGACAGAGCAGGTTCCCTCAGAACGGGGCTGCTTCGTGCACTTCCTCCAGAGCATTTTGGGTTACTCATTTTATTACATAAAAGAGTGGAAAATTCCTGTGTCAGACGAGGCTGTCACTCAAGACATGACTGCACGCCCAAACCCAGCTGCACACCCCTGCACCGCCTCACAAGAGACACCACACTCGCTCTTTGCACACTCTGCACACAGGTATTTTTTGGATACCCGGTGGGTTTGTGGCTCCTCACAATACCAGGTGAGCTGAGCCCCAGACCCAGGGCAGCTCCCGCTCCCACCCTGCGGCCCCGGGAGCTCGGGAGCCGCCAGAGCTGCCAGGCACTCGTGTGACAGCTCCCAGGACAGCAGCAGGGTTTCCGTGCCTGCAGTGAACCCCGATGGATTCTCGCTCATTTCTCCAGCCCTTACAACCGCAGCGATACAAAAGGCCTCTGGCAAATCTTCCCCGAGAGGCTCTGAAGCCAAAGCCCAGGCTCTGCGTCAGGGAGACACTCTCAGAATTTAGGCCCGGGATGGAAACGCAGAGCTCGGGCAGTGTCGCCAACACAACCTGTCACCCCCGAGCCCAGTTCAAAGGCCAGCCCTGGCCCCCCGCCCTCCTCCCCGAGCACTGACCGGCGCTGCGGGGCCCGGCACCTCCGCGGGGCCTCCGCCACGGGCACGGACGGGAACAGCCGCGGGAACAGCCGCGGCAGCGCCGGCTGCGGCCGAGCAGGACCTGCCCTGCTTGGGGCTGTGAGTCAGCGCAAACCCGGCACACCCCGAGCACCGCCCGAGCACCCCCCGAGCACCGCCCGCGCCGGGAACCGCGAGCGAAGCCGCCCGGAGCGGCCCCGGGGCAGCGCTCGCCCCGCGCGGCCCTGCCGGGGCTGCCCCCGCCCCACGTACCCGCTCGGAGCGCGGCCCCGAGGACGGCCCCGGCTGCCAGGGCGGCGCCGAGCCCCCGCCAGCCCCCGCGGAGCATCGTGCGCCGCGCCCCGCCCGGCCCGGTTACCTTCGCTGCCCGCCCGGCGCCGGGAGGCGGCGGCAGAGCCGGCCCGGCCCGGCCCGGCCCGCTGAGCGGCGGGGGCGGCGCTGCGCCCGCCCGGCCCCCCCGGCCCCCCCGCCGCCGCTCGTTCGCCGACCCGGCCGAGGAGGCGGAGGAGCGGCCCGGCAAGGACAGCCCAAGGGCGGCCGCCTTGCTCCGGGAAGGAGACGCGCCGCGGCCATGGCCTCCTCCAGGCCCCTGTCCCGCTTCTGGGAGTGGGGCAGGAACATCGTGTGCGTGGGGCGCAACTACGCGGAGCACGCCAAGGAGATGGGCAGCGCCCTGCCCACGGAGCCCCTCTTCTTCCTCAAGCCCTCCTCGGCCTACGTGCGCGAAGGGTCGCCCATCCTCCGGCCCTACTACTGCCGCAACCTGCACCACGAGGTGGAGCTGGGGGTGGTCATCGGCAAGAGGGCCCAGGCCGTGTCCCAGGAGGCTGCAATGGAGCACGTTGCGGGATATGCCCTGTGCCTGGACATGACGGCCAGGGACACGCAGGAGGAGTGCAAAAAGAAGGGGCTGCCCTGGACCTTGGCCAAGGGCTTCGGCTCCTCCTGCCCGGTCAGTGACTTTGTGCCCAAGGAGAAGATCCCAGACCCTCACAAGCTGCAGATCTGGCTCAAGGTGAACGGAAAGCTGAGGCAGGAGGGGGACACCTCCTCCATGATCTTCTCCATCCCTTACCTCATCAGCTACATCAGTCAAGTAGTCCCCCTGGAAGAAGGGGACTTGATTTTGACGGGGTCTCCCAAAGGAGTTGGGTCCGTGGAGGCCAACGATGAGATAGAGGCTGGGATCAAGGATGTGCTCTCCATGCGGTTTAAGGTGGCGCAGCAAACACGGGGATCCTAAACCAGGAGCCTGCCTGGGACGAGGCTCCTTGGGGAACGTCTGGTGAACAAACACTTCATGGCCCAAGTGCTCTGTGTGCTTCTCTCCTGTGATGATTTGAGCTTTGCCAATGTATTGCCTAAAAATAAAAATTCTTGATCAAACAGAGTGGTGATGGAGGAGGTACATGTGTAACAGTAAATCAAGAACTGCAGCTTCACAAGAAGTTTCTTGGGATGTTTTACAAAAGAAAGATGTTTGATTTTTTGATCAGTTTTACAATTCCTCCTGCATTTTCCAATGATTAAATGAGGATGGCTTTTCCTCCCGCTCCAAGGAGTGAATGCAGCAGGAAGTGTGCCAGATGCTTGGCAGATTGATTTTGTCCTAAGCTGATTTTTAAATATGTTCTAAAAGTGAAATAATATAAAAGATCGAGAATAAAGAGGCTCCTGGGTAAAGATCACCAGTAAACTTGTCTTTGCTTTTACTGATTTAAATCCAATTTTAATAAAAATGTAACTGCAGCAATTGCTTTTACTTAGACAATGCAGTGCAGCAGTTGGAGGTTTTAAGTATTTCCAGCTGCTCAAAAGCCACGCTGTGGAACTTTCCCCAGTTCCAAACTCCAGCTGATCCAACACTCCCCACCGGTTTGCATGACAGCGAGTTCCCTTTCAATTCCTTGGAGCGACAGAGTAAGTTGTAAAATATAATTAAAAAAATCCTCCCCACACAAACATCAAAACTTACCATTTTCAAAGGTTGCACAGAACTGACTCGTTTCTAACAGAAACAGATGGGATAAGTTTTTTACATACGTGCAAGCACCACAGTTAAATGCTTCCATTTACTGGAGTCACATCTTAATAATTGCTAGGAAAAGATTTGTTTTTAAAAGTGGGGAGTTTTACAGAGAAAATTCCTGTCTCCCAAAGTCAAGCACCTCTGTGAGAGCTGCATGGTCCAGGGTGCTGCACATCACACTGTGAAAAGAGAGCAGAACGTTGCAGGATTAAAACAGACATCAGGGTGAACAATTCTGGAAGAGGAAGAAGGATGGAATTAAGTTTCTGTCCTGTTTCCATTTCCTCGTGCCTGTCAAACATTCCCGCTTATGGTGACAGCAGCAATGCATCATGAGCAGTTTGGTCTCCAGCCCTGCATTGACAGCAGAGCCAAACTGGGAATAAATTATTGGAAACATTCACTTCAGAACCTGAACTGTTATGGCTGGAAAATGTTGAATCATTTAATGCTACAACAGGGGTGCAGTGACCCAGCACTGGCGGCGTTTTTTGGGGTGTTTAATCCCTTGTTCCCACCTGTGGGAGAAGGGGATGCAGTCCTGGTGGATTCTTGTCAGAATTCACTGTTTCTGTGCCTGTTTTCTCTGTGCCACGTTGCTTTAAGGGCAGGTGGGGCACGAGGGTGACCCAAGTTCCTTGGGGTGTCCTGGCGTAACGAATCCCTGGCAAGAGGAGGGCTGTGGGATCTCCCACGGTTTGGAACAGGCTGAGTCCCAACGTGCTCAGGTGAGGACTGGAGAATGCAGCAAATACACCAATGGCAGGGGAAGCTAAGGACAGAAATAGATTAAAAATAGGGAAAAATACACGAGAAAGGCAAAGTATACCTACCTGGGTTCTTTGTGTCCAGTGAAGGACAGCTACTTTGGTGAAGAAGAGTCCTTTCCTCTCTGCTGCTCACAGTCTCAGCTGATTGCTTGTCAGAGGGCACTGCTAATTGATGACTGTTCTAATAAATAAGCCTTAGTCTGCCCCAAAGAGAGTCACCTCTTCTGTTGCCACAGGTTCTGTGTTTGGACTCACCAAGGTGCACCACAAACCCAGGCAGTGTTTCAAAGTGGGTCTTTATTTATTTAAACTAACACAAAAGTAGCAAGGCAATTAAAACACAGAAGTCAGCAGATCTGTCCTGACCTATTTGTAATTTCTGATGTTTTCAGAGATCTGAATTGAGTGAAGAAACTTTTCACCCCCCTTGGAAGGGGTTGACTTTGGGAGAACTGACTTCTAAGCTGAGGCCCAAGTTACTTTCTGAAGTACAATCACCTGAAGAAGATCAACCCAGAAGCCCATTTACAGGTATTAGTAATGCACATTCCTTCCTTACTGTCAGAACAGACTTGGCAAAACCTGACAACCAAAGAATTCCACCTCTAATAACACAGGGAAGGAAGACTTTTTCCTTGACATTGTTAATAGCATAATCTCTTATTTCCAGTCTCTTCCCAGCAAGCTCTGACTCGCCTCTACAGGATCTGCCAGTTTGCAGGAAAGAAGATTCACTTTCATTCCGGTTCTCCAGTTGGGTGACAAAGTAACCTGGAAAAATAATTAGGGGTCTTTGTTTTCACTGCTGTACAGCACCTTGGCATAGATTATTTTCAGATGTCACACAGCATGATTGGCACATGGATCTGTATTTTACACTGTTTCCTGTGTGAGTGCACATTTATGCTACATTCCTGTCACTGCTGAAGGAAAACATTTGTTTTGTCCTGGAAACAGGGACAGAGGAGGGGGAGATGGGAGAGTAAGAACAGTTTTGCTAAGAAGGACAAGTTTAAGAGTGAAAAAGAGCCCCTGTTTTAAATGAAGACTAAATACTAACTTTGAAATAAATCTTGCTTCGTTCCAAAAGAAGTTGCCATTTCAGTGCAGTCTTCTGGTCATCTTCCAGCATGAGGAATTCATGGACCTGTTAACAGGACGCCCCAGAAACTTCAGCGTGTGATTACAACATCTCCACAACAAAATGATGTTGAAAAGAGCATCTTACACCTTTTTATACACTTCTAGGCTGTATTTTTCTATTTTAACATAGCGTTTGGTGTGATAATGTACCAAGGCAGTCAAATTAGCCAGAATAAATTGAGAATCAAAGTTAGGGATTTCCAACCACATTGTCAGAAAAGTGTGAATTAAAATAAAGCAATATTTTGAATTGGGTGCTCACTCTTACATTTAGCACAATTCTTATTAGCAGCTGCTGACTTCTCACTTTGGACTTGTTAAAAAGCTCAGTGTATGTCTCTACCTACGTGCAAGTTTTTAAACTGTTGAACACGCACGTGAAGAACATTTACATACATTTGTAATTGTTATCAGGCTTCACAGCCTGATAGGCCTTAAATAACAACCTCGTTCCTCCCTACTTACTGTGCAGCCCAACGTCTCCTCAGCCACACAGTCAGACAGGTAACAGGAATGCAGAGTTCCTGTGTGATCTGTCACATCCACGAGGATGTCAAAGCTTGCAAAGGTTGACTTTGACTCTGGAGAGACGTCGCTGCAGAAAGTGCAAGTGTTTGACATTTCGTTCACCACGAACCGGCAGATCGAGCTGAAGCAGAAGAAGATAATTAATGCACATATGCAATTCCTCCTTGCTTGAAACGTTTTTCTAGACTGACATTTCCCAAGAGACTTTGTCCTTAACAAAAATTTCTCATCTTTTAAACTTTCAAGTCTGTCTGGGACAAAGTGGCCTCTTTTTTCTTGGCTCCGGGACCAGAAAGAGCAAGTCCTTCATGGAGCCAACTCCTCTTCCTTGCTACTTGTGGAAGTCTACACAGCAGAAATCCACATGGCACCCTCCAGAGGAGCTTTATTTCTTTTCCAGCAATGGACTAAAATAGTGTTCCACCTCATTTGGGTCAGGGAAGGAGGACAAGCAGTTTTTAATACAGTTTGAGGCAGTTGCTCACCATCTGTTGCGCATAACTTTGGATACATTATCATCAATGTCCAGGGTGGAAATGTAGCCATAAATAATGCCATAGACAGGGTCGGGTTTCCCATCACCCTGGAGAGCTTTTTCCTTCAGCTGTTCCACTGTATAAACATCAACTATAGTCTCCACTAAAATAAAAGACACGTTAAGTGGGTCTGAGCAAGAAATAATTCAGAAGAGCAACAGCAACAAAGGATCTGAAGGTAATAAAAAGGAGAGGATTTGATCTAAAGCATCAGAAAAGCCCCCCACACCTTCCTGTTGAAAAAGTCAAACAAAAGGGAACTAAAGTCAGGAAACTATCTACTATTTAGTCTTTGTATCCCTCAAAATGAGCTTTTGACAAAAAACTCTCCCTCTCAGTTTTTCATATTTATTCAGGACAGAAAGAACACACCAGACAGGCTGCAGTTGGCACAGTCAACTGAAGGTACCTAATTAATAGAATAAGGGACAGCCCCAATAGTAACAGTCCAGATTTAAATACTGAGCCAGGCTGTACCTGAGCTTTGTTTCTCTGAACACACAGAGCAAGAATTCTTGCAGCTGCACTCTGAAACCACAGGATATAGTTAAATGAAATCAGTGTCTGCACCCATACTTACAGTTAATGGGTTCATTTGCCTGCTCCTTCATTCTGTCATGCAGAGCTCCTGACTGGGCACTGTCCTTGATGAAGCTGAAGAGAACATTTGCTTCTGCTGTCTCTGAAGATGTATTTTTAAAAATTATTAGGATGTGGTGCATGGAAAAATAACAGCAGCATTGTATTTTACAACTTTGTGTTCTGGTAGCACCAACACATTGTCTCTTGGAATCAGCCAAGAGTTACTTTTCTCTTTTTTATTTTAACTGTTAGTTCTGCACTGAATATATGAAGACTGTTTAGATAAATAAAATACAATAAAAGAAATAAAAGAAATCAAATCAGGGTGGAAGCCAAAGGCATTGGTCATTACATATTAGATAAAAAGCAGAGATCTTTGTGAGACAAACAAGCAGAAGAAATTAGACTTTCCAATGGATTAATTTGTGCGTTATAGCCTATAATTATTATTAATACCAAAGCAATACTTCAGCAGCTCTTACCTGGGTTAGTTGTAATGATGGTTTTGGATATCACAGTTGCAGTCATACAGTTCCTGAACTTGTCAAAATTTATTCTCACATCTGATGCAAATATAACTGTGCACAAAAAAAAAAAAAAACCTAAACCACCAAAAAACCTGTTACTGTAGAATAAGTATGACATTTAGAACTACAGTAAACACAAAAACCAGACTGTTATACCTGTTTCTTGAGGGATCCAACTCTGTGCCAGCTGGATGGATTCGTTATCCCAACTAAATTAAACAAAAGTGAATGTATCAAAACATTTTTGAAGGAGCACTCAAACTGTTTAGTACTTAACTACTAAATAATATAGTTAAAATAAAATTAGTCACAGGGGACGTGACTCCCTTGTTACACACTCACGCCAATGAAATTCCATGTGTATCCACAGCCAGGCAGGATGTTTTCTAGGCAAGTAACTTTTCTGTACAGTCTAACCCAGGCCCTATTTTATCCCATGCCAAGCAGGATAAAATAAATGATGAAATGCAAAATATACCTGGAAAAATGCTGTGTGTGTTTCAGAGCTGTGATAAAAGTAATTTCTCACTAAAGCAAGTCCCAGTTGACACGTTTGTCAGCTGAGCCTGTGCTGGGGGCCAGGCTGATTGCTCAGAGCCCTTGGCCAGATGTTCAGCCACTTTCCAACACTGGAATCTTTGTAGCTGCGCGTGATGAGGCTGGAGTGAGGTCAGTGGTGTCCCTCCAAATGGTAATTTCATGCTTAGGTCCCTTGATAAAATCTCATTCAGTTCCTCCTAAATCTGGCTGGCAAGGACGCTGCCAAAGCACGGATTTGTTCTGGTGGGTTTTTTGCTTAATCCTTGGAAAAAGATTTAAGATATTTTATTTCCATCTGACATTGCTCAGCCACCTCTTCACTGATGGGCTCTGAAATCCCTTCTCTACAACGCTGTTGCTCAAGTACCAGCTCTGCAGCAAGGCTGTTGGAGGTGCTGCTCCACATTAACACTGGTGGCAGCCCAAGGGCGGGAAGACTTCACACTGTAGATGTTTATTTTGTGTTTGTGAGTATAAAGTGTGTGAAACATCCCACTGGTGCCAATACAGCTCGTAGCTCACACAGTGCAGTGCTGTCTTTCTCCTTCTCTCGGGGGAACAAAGGTCATTTAGGTCATTTTTCAACCAGCAAACAGCAAACCCAGTGCCAGTGAACCCCCACACCCCCACATGTCCTTGCACATAGATAAGGCACAAGTTTATTGAACAGACTATGGGCAAAATACAAATGTTCCTCTTAAATAAGTTACTGATTACATACATAAATGGTATGGATGTAGTTGTGTTTGTAAACGGGACAGAGCTTGAAAATATGGCCAAAGTTGTATCAAAATGTTTCTGCGTTATTTTAAACGTTTAAAAACCGTTCCAACCTATTTCCATTCCACTTGTTAATTCTGCTCGCCTTTAAACACCAAGCACGTTCCTCTTTCCCCTCCCCAGACTGTGGAAGGAACATACAGCCTTTGCAGCTGGTTTTAAAGGCCATTTCCTGAATTAGTTCAAATGTCCACATTAAAAAAAGGAACTATTTGGAGCTAAGCTTCATTTTGCCATTCGTGAGCCAGCAGGCTGTCAGCAAGCCATAAAACCACACAATATATGTAAGGCCACTCTAATGCATCTCTTATTTAAGTCTCTTTTCAGTCTACATTGCTGCCTCATCACAGTTGCCTCCCAAATAACAATGCATTTAAATTAAAAACCGGTGTTATAGCAGGTGTGTGTTACAGTTAATTCATGTACCTACTCTTGCATTAATTTGTGTCTTTTAGTGAATGAAAAACCGTTTTACCATACTATTGGAAAAGACCTCTCTGTTTCATCGAACAGCTTCACTTCACACCTCTGGCCTTTCCTTTTGTCTGCAGTCATAAAGTACTTTGGCTCCCCAACCTTTAAAAAGAAGAAGAAGCAGTCACTTCTCCTCTACTAAGCGTTTAGGAGAAGTAATAACCTAGAAAAGAGAAGAGTTAGAAAAATGGGGGAAAAAAACCTCTGTAGACTACTAAAAAATGAGACCACTAAATTTCCCCCCTCATGTTGTTGATAAAAATCCCAGAGGGTGTGTGTGGTTATTGTCACTCAGCTAAAGTGGCTCCAGCCTGAGCAAACCACCCCACTGAGTCCTGTCTGCTACGAGGCCCAAAATCCATATTAGCAGTGAGGTCACTCCTGGTATAGTAGAGAACTACTGCTCTGTTGGGGCTCCTTGACTTACTGACATCACAGCTGCGAGCACGTTGAGGATCCTTCCATTGAGGCTTTGTCCATTTGCAACGATATCCCCCAGGGAATAATAGTCCTGAGGGTCCTTGACAGGCAGGTGCAGCAGAGGAAGGAGCCTGGTGTCCGTTTCGTAACACAAAGAGGTTTTGACCACTGAGTGATTTTCACTGAGCAGTAATTTGTAGCAACTGGAGAGTGTGCACAGAACAAATCCCATCATCAGCATTGCACTCACCAGTGGATCAACAGGGTAAAATGCTAATTCTTGTGAGAAAACAACTTCATTCCTTTATTGTTTTCTCTCGAGAAAGAGAAAATTTGAGTAGACTTTACTCAAAGAAGGAAATTTACTCTGTTTAGTTACAAAGAGCATAATTACTTTATCACCATATACTGAGAAATACGTTCCCCTTTGAGATTATTTGACCAGACATGAACACAGGGAGGAAGGCACAGCTACACAAGAAGACTATCCCCAAATATTTCTACCAGTTACTGGGACTGGCTGGCAACTAAACAAGTGTTAACTTTGATCTTTCTGGAAAAAACTACCACTCTAAATTTACCTAGGAGTTACAGGGTTGAATTTTTCTTCCCTTTCTGCTTCCTTTGACTGAATTAAAGGGTTTTCGATTGTAACTGAAACAAAACATCGATAAGCAATGTTAGTAATGGTAGAAAATTGCTTATAGATACAGAGAAAGAGAGATTACTCTAAAAATTATTGTTTTCAAGGTTGATTTGGAAAGGAAAAGGTGTGTGAAAGAACTACTGCCAAATGTTTTCATGCTGAAAACCCAGACAGCTCACATTATGGCCAAAGTCCCCCACGAGTCCTCAAGACGCGCAGTGGAAACACAGCAGCCCTGAGTTTTCGTGTCTGTGCTCTGCATGGTCACGAGTTTTACCCAAACAACCGTGGGCAGCAAAGGCTTTCTATTAATTTAACGAGATAAAAGCACATCCTGTAAATAAAGACACGATTTTTGTGGTGGTTTTATGAACAATCATAGTCATATCTGTAACTAAGGGAGGGCAAACACCAAACTACTTTACAGAGCTTGTTTTTAATCATTTATAGGAAGTCAATATAATGTAAGACTTTAGATTGGTTAACTACAGTTCACTGCAGCCAGTTCTGAGTGGCTGCACTCAGTGGGTTTGTGTCTGGTCTTTTTGTTGACATATTTACTGGTTTTGAGTTTAAATCCTTGGAATCTTGTTCCTTTCCTCTTTATACTTTACATAACTGAACAATTTGTTTCCAATTAGACTGTTTTCTGAGTCCTCAGAGAAAAATACAGCAAAGCCACCAACACAAAACACTGGTTTACACGCAAACAGAAACGTGGCAAGAATAAACTCTGACTTACCACAGTCCCCAACCCTGAAGCTTTCTGAGAGGGATCTGATATACTCCTCTCTGCCCCAGGACTGCACGTTTATGAAATAAGTTGGTGAATCACGGATGGTAAAATTGAAGGTGTATCTTTCTGACCCAATGTCTGCAAAACCAAACAGCACTATTACAATTCTTAGCACAGCTTCATTTATAACTGCAATACAGGTATAAAAACTACTGGTTCGATGCTCTCCTGGGTTTTGCCATGAGTTTCCTCCCACTAGAGGTCAGCAGGCTGTGCAGGAACACCCTGACACCACCCCGTCCACCTGATCCCTTCCAGCAGCGTTTATGGAAGGATGGGCTCATAGTGGTACCAACTTCAGAGCCTGAAACACTTCCACGATGGAGCTTTTCCAGTTTCTAATTGATAAGGTTTAGCCACACTAGTGCTGCTCTTTCATCCTGGTTCTCAAACACACGCCTTTTTTTTGCGTGTGCATTTTTGTTCTGTGCGTTTTACACCGAGGAGTCTGTTTATCATTTAAATATTGATTTCAGCCATCTATGCCAAATTAAACCATTTAAGCAAACGAAGTAAAAAGAGTTAAAAGGGACTGTACTTTTTCGGTCTGGAAAGCTTCTGACATCTGTTTTCCCAATAACCACACCGATTACATTCTGAAAAATAAAGAGATTATAGAATACAAGGATTAAAGACAGATGTATATGATGAATTAGATTTCATGGAATTATACTCCACTGATGATAATAAACATATTTCTGACTGGTAATCATTTTAATCTATTTATTCCACAGTACCATATGAAAACTAAAACATAAACAGACGAGTTTACTTTAAGAAAAAATAGCCACTAATAAAAATATTAAAAGAAATACATCTGTTTCTGTTTGCAAAGACAATGGGAGGACAAAAGTTCACCTCAGGCAGTCACAATTTTGGCTGTTCTACAGCAATCTCTCCTCAGGTAGGCAGCAATGTTGTTGTTTCATGCTCTCTGCACAGGTCTCAGATCTCCTTAAATGCACCATGAAAAGTCTGGGCAGGATTTATTTTCCAGTTAAGCATCCAAGGTTTCCCTGGCTGTCAGCACCACGAGACACACGTGTGCACCCACGGGGAGGGCAGTTACCCTCCTCCTGTAAGCAACCCCAATTTCTACAGGTGCCTCTTTCCGCCTGCCTTTCAACTCACTCAAAGGCAGCTGAGGCAAGGAACTGTCCTGGTGACTGAAACCAAAATCAATTTTGTTCTGCTTTGCTAAACCTGTGTTTATTATGTAAAAGCACCCTGGTCTTAATTATCAAACAAAGCTACTGGGAGCAAACACACCCGTGAAGATATATAGAGATATATATTATATATATATATATACATATATATATGTATGTATGTAGCTGTGTGGTGGATTTTAGGTTTTTTAAAGTAGGCAGTCCTCAGTGAGAGAGAAGTGTTGCAGTGCTAGTTTGGGATTTAGGAGGTGAGCAATGAAAATTGGAATGGAATAAGGACAGGAAGGAGAGACTGACAGTGCAGCACCCCACATCCTTCAAAACATAAAGCACCCCATGTGACTTCCACTTCACACAGTCATGGAAACCTGGAATGGTTTGGGATGGAGGGACCCTCAAGACCATTTTGTTCCACCCCCTGCCGTGGGCAAGGACACCTTCCACAAGGACAACTTCCCAGGTTGCTCCAAGCCCCATCCAGGCTGGCCTTGGACACTTCCACGGGTGGGGCAGCCACAGCTTCTCCACTCGAGCCCTTCTCTCAGTACTGCCTGTGTCATTCCAGCAGAACCCCTGAGTCAGCCAGCAAGGGCAGGAGAACAATTTAATAATCCCTCCAGGATTAATTTTATACCTATTCACAAAGCAGTGTGACCTGCCTGACTTCACTGCAACAGTACTGACTCAAAACTCAGCTGTGCAGTTCCCGGTTCCCTTGGAATCACTAGATGGAGCAAGGGAACTGCCTTATCCTGCAGTGACAGGCACTCAGGAAGAGGACACCGTACAGTAGTGCAGTACCCGAGTTAGTGCATCTTCTGATGGAAGACTTTCTGTCCACAGCATGGAGTGATTTAGGTTATGATTTTATTTTTCTATTTTTGATTTTGTTTCTTTAAAAAATGTTTATCAGTTAAATCAAAATCAACTGACATTTAGGATGGCTCCCCACAGGAATTAAGCTGATGTAAATCTGCAGTTTCCAAAGGAAATCTGCCTGTCCCTGCTGGAAATTCATTCCCCTCTCTGTCTCTAACACCAGGCCTGCACAGTGAGCTGGCAGAGGGAAGTGATCTGGCTGGAAACTATTTTGGAGGGAGGGGGAAGGAAAACTTCCAGAGATCATTTCCTTGATCAGCTTATTGTGCAACAAGCCAAGCACTAATTTCACCAAGGGAGGAGGAGCAGAACACAGCCCTTTGGAAGCGAGTCGTGCTGCCTCTTTTGACAGAGCACTGCTTGGGGCTGCTCAGCCAAATCCTGAGCTACACCACGGACACACTGCAAGTGTTTATACTTTAATCTATTTCACTTCTAAAAATAAGCAGCAAACTAATAAACATTCTGATGCTTTAAATTATATGTCTTCTGCTTTTTTAACATCCTAAACACACACTTATAGTTCTATCATGAATATACTCTTTTATAAAAACGCTTTCATTACTATATGTTACTAACTGGAATACTCAAGATGAGTTTTATTTATAAATAAAAGCTTTTAACTGAGCTAGTGGATCGTTATTTGAGAGTAACTGTCAATGACAATAAATTAGATTTGCTGGAGAACAGGAGTTTATGAAAAGATGGAAAAAATATACAATATCACTGGGATATAGAACTCCTTCTCTCAGATCATCCCTTTTCTGTGATTTCCCTTTCAGTTGTTTGAAATAAAATAATAATAATAATAATAAAAAAGTTAAATTTTGCCCCTCCCAAATAAAAAGTTGTGGAAACAGGAAAACTTGTTTTCACTCTCTTCAGGAGCAACCTGGTCTAGTGGAAGGTGTCCCTGCCCGTGGAAGGTGTCCCTGCCCACGGCAGGGCGGTGGAACGAGATGAGCTTTAAGGTCACTTCCAAGCTAACTGTGATTTTATGTCCCTTCCAAGCCAAACCTGCTTTTTATTGCAAAGAAACAGAAACAATCCTATCTGACATGCAACTGGGAGACTTTTATCCAGGTAAAACACCTCTCACCAAAAGTTTTGTGAATAACTCGGGACAGTGTTATGAGCTCAGAGGGACTGAGCACACCAGGAGTGGGCCCTGCGTTCATAGGTGTGGTGAAAGACTGTTGAGGGTCCCAGATACTTTGTGGCTGCAGAAAGCTGACTCTGTGATGCCTTCACTAATGTCTTCACTAACTCAGCATCCATTTAAAACGCTACAAAGAAGCCTCTGACGCTGAGACATTGAACTGTCCAGTCAATATCTGTAGTTGTGGTACCCGCAGGCTGTGGACAACAGCAGCATCAATTTTCATTTTGCTGGTTTGCACACAAAGAAGGGAAGGTCCTTTCTGTCTGACAATTACACTAATGCTCTTAGTACCTAAATCCATGGCAATTACATAATTTTGCAGTAATATAATACAGTCAGATACTGTTTCATCTCAGAACAAAAGGACCATGTCTATGAGACTTACAGGACGAGCAAGGTTTGGATGCAGATCTGAAAGTGCAACAAAGTCCCGTGCTGAACTAGAATAAGCCATTCTTTATCTGAAACTGGAGAAAACTAATTTAGATTTTTTAAAAATCTAAACAAATCACTTCAGACTATTCACAGCGAGAATAAAAAGTTATTTTTTAACACAAATGTTTTGACCTAATAGCATCTGTTTTCAATAAAAGCCATTTCAAGCCATCTGAAGTAGACAAGTCTTTATTGTTTGGATTTGGCGATGGAAGTTATGAATTTTACTGTGACTACTCTACCTATGCTTCTCAAATAAAAGTCTGTGATTTTTATTTATTATCCATCATTAAATGACTCCATTAGCACCAACCTCTGAAAAATATTTACCCTCCTTCTCTCTGGGAAGTCCAACTGAATTTAATGAGGCAGCTCATATAAAAAAGGCAATTTATATGTGAGGAAAGAAAAGCATTGGGTTGCAAAGCACCTTAATTGAGGTTTTTGACTTAATATTAAACTACTTTAAAATGTGAGTTTATTCCTTCCTTAAAGTAGAAAAGTTCTGAATTTATCAAAATAAAATTTGTGAAAATTAGTTCTTTCCAGGCTGCTCAGTCCTGTGAGCACTCAGGTCCTCTCTAGTGATGCCAAAGTGGGGCTTTGTTTGCCCCTCTGAATGCCTCTTATTAGTTCATGGGTACCTCAGAGACTTTCAGATATTTAGCAAATAGTTGTCAGATTCTACTTTTTTTTTGTAAAAGGAACCATCCCGTTGTCCAAATCTTAATAACATTTAATAGGGGAGAACTACTGGATGCTTGTTCAATGTTTATAACAAAGTCCTGAGGGGCTTTTGCAGTCCTTATACCTGGCACCTTGTGTGAGAATTGTTAACCATTTCATCAGGTAATAGGGTAAAGGTCTGTTGAACTAGAGAAGAAATAGTCTCTATTTTAAATAAAGTAAGCAGTGATCTGAGAACCAAGTGATTTCTCTAAGAGAGCATTTCAAACTACACTCTCACAGAGAGACAGCCCAAATTTGCCTTAGAGAAACCACCGAACAGTGGATCCCTTAAACCTGTTCCCACACCATTAGATGGAAAGATTTACATTTTCTTCTGCAGAAACCTCAGCATCCCCCCAAGGCACGGCAATATCCTTACCTCCGAAGAAGTTAAATATTGTTCAGTGGCCACACCTCACACCAGCTGAGTTGGGTCAGAGGAACCAGCACTGGGAACACACGGACGGGAGGAAAATTAAAAAAGGTCATTTAGGACTTAAAATGCTCCAGGCCCCTACAGGGGAGGCTACAGCAGGAGCTGCCCCCCTCACAAACCCCTCAGGGACCCCTCAGCACATCATGTACCCCCTCACAGATCCCTCAGCTACCTCATGGACCCCTCAGCCCATCACATACCCCCTCAGTTACCCCACAGTCCCTCACAGACCACTCGTGGACCCCTCAGTCCATCACAGAGTCACAGAATCAGCTGGGTTGGAAAGGACCTCCGAGATCATCAAGTGCAACCCTTGATCCACTACTGCCGTGGTTCCCAGACTGTGGCACTGATGCCACATTTAGTCATCTTAAAAACCTCCAGGGACGGAGAATCCATCACTTCCCTGGGCAGCCCATTCCAATGCCTGATTACCTTTTCTGTAGAGAATTTCTTCATATACCTCCTCAAGCCCCTCACGGACCTTCAGTGCCCCTCGCGGACCCCTCAGGTACGTGAAGGACACAAAATGGCGCCGGCGCAGTGGCGGGAAAAGGGCTCCGCAGCCCTGTGGGAGCGTCCTCAGGGACGCCTGTGGGAGCATCAGCACGGCACGAGGGGAGAGGTTTCCCAAACCACTGATGGCATTCCTGCACTCAGCAGGATCACCGGTGGATCTCAAGGAGGTAACAGCAGGGTTAGATGGGAGACTGGGAAGAAAGTTTTCCCTGTGAGGGTGGGGAGCCCCTGGCACAGGTTGCCCAGAGAAGCTGTGGCTGCCCCATCCCTGGGAATGTCCAAGGCCAGGTTGGACGGGGCTTGGAGCAACCTGGGCTAGTGGAAGGTGTCCCTGCCCATGGCAGGGGGTGGATTAACTGACCTTTAAGGTCCCTTCCAACCCAAACCATTCCAGGTTTCCACGACTCCAAGCCAACAAAGCACCAGCCCAGGAGTCTGAAGTCCGGTCTGTTCTACAATCATAAATGCACACCTGCAAGACAAAGCAAATTCCAGAAATCTTTGGAGAAACCATTCCCTACTTTCTTTTTCCTTTTTTTTTTTTTTTTCACTAGCTCTAAGGGAAAAAAAATTGCAGCCTGTATTTTATAAATGAGTTAAAATTCATCGTTTAAGATATTATTTGTATTGATTTGCACCCAGCAATCCCTGAGTTTTCAGGCCCTGAAAGGAGCTGGATCGAGCCATTTTGTCAATTTATATTGCATATAAAATCATTTTTTTATAAAATCAATACCCTTCACTTCTGCATCATGAAAAACTTTACTCCTGATGAGTAATTTTATAACCTCAAGGTCGTGGCTATTGAAGTTTTTAGTGTAGCCTGACAAATTCTCTGTGTTGACTCTGTATTACAGGACCTTTCATTTCTTCAATTAAACAGCTGAAAACGGACACCACCTGTGCTCTCGTATTTATTGTGTCTCTAAAGTCCGTGATAATTATCCTGTGCTGATGACAAACGTCATGCCAGGGAACTGACAGCATGGGGTGAAGGGGGGGGTTAGGTCACCTTTTATACAGTGTCATCCGTGGATCTAACTGTTCCATAAGTCTGAAGTCTCCAGTATACAGAATATGGCATTTTTTGTTAGTTATGTTGTTTTAGTTATCTCAGTCCAACGGACAAGCAGAATATAATGACCACGGTGACGTGCTCCTAGTCCAGTGGGAAGGAGAACGTGTGCACTGGCTGGAAAATGCTGGCAAAGGTACAAGTCTTGTTCTTCCAGCCACAACTGCACAGTAAACCAGGAAAACAAACCTGAAATGAGACCTGTAGGGTGTCCACTGCTGCAGAAGGTGATAAATCAGGATCACAGTCCACGGACTTGCAGGTTTTGAGCTTGTCCAGCATCTCAGCAAGGTTTTGGTGGGACACAAGCACCTGCTCCAGTGAGGCCTTGCAGAACCGAGCCGGGATCTTGCGCTGCCACCATGGTCAGCACTTCCATTAGGTTTTGTCCAGGTTGAGCTGCTTTTCTCCCACAGGCACAAAGGGCAGGTGAAACCCGACGCCGCCGTGTCCCGTCCAGGGCCGCGGGCTTTGTTCCATTTCAAAGCCACCAGAACAAGAATCCTGTTGTGTGTCCCCACGGCCTCACTAGACAGCTAATGATCGAGGGGGTTTGCTTTGTGGGTTAGCTCCACTCCTATTTTCAATGTACATTTTGAAGAAAAAGCTGCTCTTTCCTTTCCCATGATAGCTCCTGCTGGGGAGACGTTATCAGGGCCATCGTGACAGGATGCACAAAGGCAGTGGATGTGAGACCAGAGCTCTTTCCCTCCGAGATGTGATCAGATGCTCCATTTCTAACTTGCAGACACTGAGCCAAGAACTCATTTGATGGACGTACCTGTCTCAGGTGTCACTGTGAATTCTGCCATTCACACGTGGCACTTCGGGGGATGGTCAGAGATTTGGACTCCTTTGGGTTACTGTAAAAAAATAACATCTTTTTTTGGTGCTCACAACAAATAAATGTGTAACCTGACTTTATCCCACTGATTTACAGTGTCAACTGATTCTTCCTGTTAGGAACGTTTAGCACAAACAATGAAGAGCGCCTGCAAAAACAAATGTTACTCAATTTGTACTCAGCTTTACTCAAGTTTTCCTCCTCAAATGACCTCAAAGTGATCTCTCAAAGAAATCAGCATCATTATCTCCCTTTGACAACTGGAAAAACAGAGGCAAGAGAAAGGCCACGAGCAGTTTCCTGAGGTCCATGTACCACACAAGACCTGCTCCCCTCTCAAGCACCGTCCCCCGTGGGAGAGCAACGGTATAAATTCAATGTTTTTCTGATCTAGTGCTTGATCCCTGAAAGCTCCAAGTGATTTTAACTCTCCAGCACTTCAGCAGCACTTAGCACTCTGTTGGATTCAATCTGTGATTGGCAGAGACTTCCCATCCACTGCTGCAAATTGCCCAGTCCCTGCTAATTAGGCCTTCATGAATAGATTTATTTAAATTACACTCATTGGCATGGTCAAATGCCATTTTGTAATTCACTTTAGCAATTTGTTATGTGACCATCAGGGTTTGCATTCAGGGAAAGAGCATCCAGTGCTAGCAGAGACATTTCAGAAATCATTTTCTAAAGGATCTTCAAAACCAGAGCAATATAAAAATATTTGCTCTGCAAGTTTTCTGCTGCCCGCAGCGTTTACTGAGAGGGCTCATTGAATATTTATACATTCTTAGGACCCAGAGAATTGGTAAAATGGAAAGGGCAGACCCATAATTTTATGTAATTGGCTTGACTGAATGCATTAAAAGCAGCAAATTGTTGAAGGTATTCAGTGTTCAGTGGCTTTGGCTGATACCTGAACTGGCTGAGCCTTGGGAGCGCTGATGGAGTAATGATGGACATCCTCAGGAGCAGCAGTGCAGGTGCTGATGCAGCCAACAGGTGCTCAGTGTGGTCAGGGACATTGAATCTACATTTCTCCCTGTCACCTCAGTGAGTGTTTGTTCAGCTCTCACTTCCCCCCATCCTGGTCCCAGCACTGGATTCATCCCAGTGCTGTTCCAGTGGGATTTCCTTGCTCCAAGCAGCTCCATGACCTCCTGCAGCATGGAAAAACACAACCCAGAGCCTTAGTTTAAAATTAAGGTGAACTGTGGCTGGTTCCCCCCCCATCTGGGCTAATTCTCACTACTCTGGGCCAGGGGAGGTGCAAGACCTAAGGCTGGTGTATCCACATGAGCCCACAGAGAGCTCAGACCCCAAAAGCACGTGTGAGCCAACAGGACCACGTGCCAAGGGCTCTCTCTGCACAAGAAAAGCCCCACTGCTGGAAAAGAAAAAAAAAAAAAAGGCTTTTTTAAAGATGTAAATCTCTGTGGACCATGTCAGCCCTGCTCTTTCCAGCTGCCCAGGAAGGACAACATTTTGAAACAACAGCTGCTCTCAAGACAACAAAATCTCCCTGTTCTCTCTGGTGAATTCAGGTGGAGCTGCTTAAAACCAGACCTGGCCTTCCCCACAACCCGGGGAGGAACAGGAGCCCCTACACCAAGATCAGGTCCCCTCAGGTGGGCATTGCAGAATTACTTCAAGAAATAATCATCAAAACTGAAATCTAAAATCTTTTGGATCATCACTAAGCAGATAATAATTAGCAGTGAAAAATTAGTAAATAAACATACCCCAGAACTAACCCTCCTGTGTAATTTTCATAGCAAAAATTCAGAATAAGGTGCCCATATAGGAGAACTCACTGCTTGAAAACACCGACACAAGGCTTTTTTCTTCAATTCTCTTGCTTTTTTGCAGCTCACACTTTGATTTCCCAAGATTTTAAATCTGCTGTTTAACTCGCCTGAAACTACAGAGATAGAAAGTGCTTCTTTTTGGAGCCTTCAGGCTACAGAGAATAACTTTTCCTGCACATAATTTCAAACTAATTTAAGTGACATCAGTGAAATGACTTGGATTTTCATCACTTTCCCCAAGACCAGAATTTCCTCCTCCCTCTCTGAGCAAACAAGTGATGAATATTTTCCAACAAAACATCATGAATTAAAACATGCAACAATTAAAAATAGTTTTAGTGACAGCTCCCTGACACTGAGGAATAATGCTTTGAAGGGGGAAAAAAGAAGATATTTAGCATTGTTGGCTGCCATTCAGACATTTCCAGCTTTTCAAGTCAATGAAACCAAACCCAAATTATATCTGGATTTCAGTCTGGGACACATGATACTGAGCAGCACCAATCAGGGCACACAGGATAAGTCTCTTCCAGTGACAAAGTTGGGAAAAACCCTTCCAGCCTTCAGTTGCTCCAGTTTCCAACCACGTCAAAAACTCTACCCCTGCGTGAGCAGTTCATAAGGAGGAAAACTTGGGACATAATTCCTAAAGAGACGCATGGGGATGGCTGCAAAAGAAAACTGGGATCTTAGAGTGAATACAATCATTCCTCCACCGCAGAATCCAGTGAACTGAGCACCAGTGGAGTCCAAAGAGCCCGTCCAAGCCAAACTTCCCAGCACAAACACACCTCTGATCTCGTGCTGAGTGTTTGGCCCTGGCGTGGCGGTGGCGAGGCTCCCGCTGCTCAGAGAGCCAGGCCCACATCCAACCCTTCCGAGGAAACCGCATGTCAACATTCCCAGAGCCCGCCTGTCAGGCAGCTCGTTAGGGAACGCTGCAGACCCACACTGACATTTGGAGTTCTTATCCCTTAGAAAAACAAAACCTCCCCCCAAAGCCTGTTCGAAGTGCAAAGGTACGAGACCCGAGCGAAACGGGACTCGATCACGACATTTTCCCTTAAGAAAATGAACACTAGAGGTCTATCTAACAACTTGTCCCGGAAATACATATCCCTGGAATAAAATATTACAGATCTCTGCACACTGTACACCTCTAACTACATCCAGACCCACGGGCTTGGCAACGTGCTTCGTGTCTAACAAGGGTTTCTTCTATTTTTTGGAATTTGTTCTTGTCTTGCTCCACATTAGTATTTCCTTTCTGGAGCTGGTCCATTTGATCGCTGTCCTGATCCACGGGGCTCACTCGTGCACTGAACTACCCAGTCATGGAAGGAAGGGGAAATGGGCATTTGCATGTGCTGGAGGCCAAATGTGCCCCTGCTGGAGCTCTGCTGCAGCCAGGACAGTTCCATTAAGGGTTCCATTGAGGGCAGGAGCAGAGGAGCAGATGGAAACCCCTC